AAGTAGAAAAAACTGTCTCGTTACATGATATACCTCAATGTTGGTCCAAAAATAGCCAGCTCCGGAGGTAAAGTGATGGAGGGCACATTGTTCCACAGCATCTCTACTGATATGCAGGATGGTTTTTTGGTACCAGAATTCACATCTACAAGAAGCAACTGTGCAGTGCTGAAGTTACTTCATGTATGTCCCAAAGCCCATTCTGCTGCCCCAGACTGGGGTTTCTAGTAGCCAAGGAACTCTCAACTGAGGGAGGATTCCCAGGAATCTCTCTGGAGAACCAACCAAACCAAACTCATTGCTATCGAGTCAATTGCAACTCATAGTGACCACATTGGGTTTCCAAGGCTGTGAATCATTAAGGAAGTAGATTGCTGCATTTTCCTTCTGGGGAGTAGCTGGTGGGTTTGAACCACTGATTTTCTGGTTAGCAGCCAAATGCCTTATCCACTATGCCACCAGAGCTCCACTGGAGAAGAGCAGTTCTGAACATGAACCTCTTCAATTCTTTAATCTGGTTTAATCATAGTCCACTCAAGTACCAAAAATATTAAAATGTTTGTCAACATTTCCTGTAACTCTATTTCTATATAAGCCCCTGAGAAAGTACCTGTCAATTTGAGATGTGCTATTTATAGCTGGGGAACACCAAGAGTGCAGGCTCCCTCCACACACCCACTGCGCAGCCGGGACTGTCCTGGGTCTGGGCAAATTTGTCTCTTAATCTGAAAAGGCGGGTGGGGCTGAGCCAGTCTCCACCCCTCCACAGAGGCCAGCCGGCTGCTTGGCCCCAGGCGTTGGAGAATTCGGCCGGGACACTATGCTGTCCCACGTGGCTCTCTGGATCCTCTTCCTTCTTAGACCTCACAGAGGGGGCACCAGGAACCAACAAGGAATTTATCGGAAGCAGGAGAAGAAAACAGGCAAAGGAAGACAAGGCCATGGAGGAAGAAGAGAGGTGGCTTAGGGGCCAGCAGGGGACAAAGGTGGTGACAAGGCTGGAGAGGCCATGGTAGTGGCCACTGACTCGAGATAGCCCTGTCCTTCCCAGACTGTCAGTTGGGGGAAGGGGGAAGGGGAGTTACTTGACGAGTCGGTGAGTAAATAGTTGTCCAAGGCAACAAAATGAGAAGCCATCTCAAAGGACACCAGGCGGGAGTATCCGGGAGACCAGAGGGGTGTCCATCTCAGGGACCAGATGACCAATGCACCATTTGCCCACAAACTGGTAACGTAACACTGCTGCTTAAGATGGACTGACTCCCCAGACCACCCTGACTCTGATCCCCTCTCCCAGCCAGGGGCACAAAGCCAAGCACTCCTCCCCCTCTGTTACCCCTTTGCCTCCTCCTACTCTTAAGCTGGCCCTGTCATTTCAGACAAGCCCTTATCCTCCTGAGCAGGGACCCCACCCTGCAGGGGAGTGGCTGCCCTGCAGAAAACAGCAGAGGCTCCCCTCTGCTGCCTATCCTGAGTCTGGGCAGGGCCCTGCCTCGCCCACCTACCGACTCCTCCAAAGAAAACAGAAGACAAGCTCCAAAGCCTTACCCACCCCCCTCCACCCCCACCACACAAGGGAAGAAAGTTGAGGGCCGCCTTCCTTGCCCTGGAAAATTCCTCTACTGGCAAATCCGCTTACACTCAGCACAAAAGAGAACTGCTGGGCTGCTGGGCGTGAGCCCGGCTGCAGAGCGGCCCCTCAGAGACTGGGAGAAGGCCAAGGGCTTCCCTGTGGGGCATGTGGGCCATGCAGTCCAGGACAGGGCCCTGGCAGAGAGTGCACCCAAGTCGGGACTAACCCTTCCCTGTGTCCCACTTAGATTCTTCTCCAAGAAGAGCCCCTCCCCTCTTGTGTGCATCACTGGCCCCAGGCCCTTGTTCTTCTCCTTGGCATTTGCTAATGTCAGTTTCCACTCAGCAGGGTGGGTGGCAAACCCAGAGAAAGCGCAGTCTGCCCTACGCCTGCTGGTCAACCAGCTTTAGCCAGCATGCATGTCCCCTGCGGCAGTTCTACAGCCACAGGTGTGACGTTAGACATGGAGACGTGGCCCCGCGGTGCACTGGAGGCCAGGGCCCACGTCGCCTGCTTCACAACAGCCCGGGTCTCCCCCCTGCTGCTATACTCATAGCAGGAGACTCTGAAATGGGTTGGGATGAGGTAGGGGGCTGGGGCGAGGGCACCAGAAACAGGAGCTGTGACAGGGAAGCGGCAGGAGACTGAAGACTTAGGGGTGGAGGTCTGGAGACCCCACTATTCCCAACACAAGCTTCCATGGTGGGAACAGCAGAATATTTAGCAGCCCACTGAGCCTCACGCTTGCTCTACCAACAGCAGCCGGATGGTGGTAGCTGGCAGGGCCCTTAGTGGCAGCTGATAGGCTCAGGGTTTACATCTTGTAAGGGTGATGCCCCCACACACTTCCAATGGGTTCTTAGTGCCGGCTGCATGGTGCAGTCATCTGGGGAGCTTTTGCAAGTCTCTTGGGGTGCAGCTCACCAGACCAATTCAGTGGGCACCTCTGTAGCCGGCAGGGGGTAAGGTGATGAAAAGTTCCCTTGGAATCCACAGCAGTGGCCAGGACCGAGAAGCCCTGGGCCTGAGGCCATTTGGCTTGGTCCGGCTGGGTCTACAGCTAGCAGAGGTGCAGATGGCACCGTGGACAGCCTGGTGATGCAGTGAGTTGTATGTGTGTGGCAGGAAGACATCACACTGCTAGGGCAAGACCACCTGCAGGGGGAACCAAGGTCTGCCATAACCCTCATCACCCACAGGGTGCTTCCTCCCAGGAGGCGAGGCTGATCCCAGCTCCTGGGCACAGGGCTTCTCACCGGCCGGTAGAAGAAGTGGTTCCCAGGCTGGGTTCCAGACCATGAGGGATTCAGTGTGGTGCTGCGGGAAGAGAGGAACACCCTGGAATCGAATTCAAATGCTGTGTCACCATCTCGCCCGGCTCCCACGCACCTAGGACACTCTCCTGATGCCCTGTTTCATCTGCTTTTGGAGGGGTGCAGGTGGGATAGATCGATGCCTGATGAAACCGAGTGGGAGAGAAGAGGGGGCGTCAGCCCAGCTCAGTGTCGGGAAGGTGACCAGGCCAGAGCATCCAGGGCTAAGGACTTGCTAGTCGGTCTAAACGACTGTAAATGCCTGCTGCCAAGAAGGGTGACAATTAACTGCAGTGTGGACGGGGCAGATGCTGACAGCCTGGATGGCTGGAGGTCACCGCCATCCCTCAGTGCTTGGAGAGAAAGGTGGGGGCAGAAGAGTCCCCGGAGAGCTTGGCGACCATGCCAATCCCACACGTGCCCTGTCAGGCCACTCCCTCAGCTCGAAAGCTCTACAAAGTCTGGCCTCAGAGCCAATCCACAAAGCGAAGAGTAAACCCACACCTGGGAATCTTTGGGACCCAGTCCCGAGCGACATGGCCCAGCCCACCGGGGAGAATTTACCTAAAATGCGTTGATTAGTAGACAATCCAACAAACATTTCCTTCAAAAATCACCCCTCCTGTGTCTGTACTTCTGCCTTATTCTGAGTTTCTTACTTATCCCCCGCCCCCCATATTCTTTACATTTTAAGGAGCTCTGGATTTGGTTCATCTAAGAGAACACAGGACTTAATTTTGTATTTCTAGTCATCACTTGGGAGCTCTGGTAGCATAGTGCCTAAGGCACTAACCTTAGACTAACTAAGACTGCTAACCGGAAGGCTGGTGGTTCAAACCCACCAGCCACTCCTCAGAAGGAAGATGGGGCAATCTACTTCTGTAGAGATACTGCCTCGGAAACCCAAGGAGGGGTCGCTATGAGTTGGGTCTGACTTGATGGCACATAACAGGCACATAACAACAACAACAACGGTCATCACTTAGGAAATTTGTCCATCTCATCAAATGATAATGAGCTTTTTCTCTATTACATCTACTTTTAACATATTAACAACTTTGTACCCAGTTGATCGAAATTCCCTTGCATCAGGATGAGTCAACATCTGGCAGTAAACACCTACTGATGCACACAGTTTCGTAGTCACCACATTGAACATAATTGGACAACCTATGTGTGCTTTTCCTCATTATTATTAAACTAAGACCAGACTCACTGCCATTGAGTTGATTCCAATTCATAGGACCCTATAGGACAAATAGGGTTCCTAAAGCTATAATCTTTACAGAAGCAGACTGGCTCATCTTTCTACCACAGAGCAGCTGGTGGGTTTGAACCACTGACCTTCTGGTTAGCAGTCAAATGCTTTAACCACTGCACCATGTAATAATGTATGAATAGAGCCTAGAAAACCATGAGTCCCTCTGTCTCACGTGATTTACTTGCTGGAAGAGTCAACGCCTCCATCAAAGAGAAAGGACAGCCTGCATCACCTGGTGGAATGACTGGACCACACAGTGCTCACAGCAGCCACCATGAAGGGGGTGGGCAGAAACAGAAACATGGCAAAGACGGCAAATTCCACACTGTCTGTGCGAAATGCCACCGTTCCATAAACATTTATTGCTAGAAACAGCATTTCCAACAATGATTCTTCAAACACTTGGATTCCACTTGCCTCCTCTACAAAGAGCCCATTGCTCCTAAAGTGCTGCAAATTTGATAAATAATCATTAAAAATACAAAATTATACAGAAAACACCCTTTGACAAGTTGGACTAAAAAACACTCTGAATTGGGATCTAAAGAAGGTAGATTTTGGGGCAAATTGGCAAAGAGGTGTGTTGATGATGAAATGAACTGGGAAATCAATTGGGGTGAACCCCAATTCACTCTGGGGTATGGCTGGAACCAGCAAGTACCACCTTTGGGGTCTCCAAGAAGGAGGAGGCTGTGAACAGGAAGACCTATGCGGAGGAAGGAGAAAGGGCCCTTTCTCCATGTGGGCCTGCACTGTCTCTGGCCGCCAGCCTCCTCCTTGGTGTCGGGCAGTGTCCGCAGGGCGTCCTGGCTGGGGCTCTGCGCCTGGCCACTCCTTCCTCGTGCTGACCCCCTCACGTCCTTTTCCTCCAGCGAGATGCCCGCCGTTCCTTCTGCGCCTCCTCCGTGCGCTTCCTCTCCGCCTCCTCTGCCCTCCTCTTCTCCTCCTTGGCCTCCTTGTAGCGCCACTTGGGGATCTGCAGGTGGGTGCTGTCCTTGGTGCTGCCCTTGGCGGCCGGTCGCTCTGGCTGGAAAGTGGGTGAGGGCGCCTTGCTGATGCGGACCCTGGGGATGACCATGCCCGGCCGCACGCTACTCCGTCTCAGCAGCTGCAGGGGCAGGAGGCTGGCCTTCCGTGAGGCAGGGGCCACCTGGGCACCCAGCAGGGGTGGTGATGGCAGGCTAGCTCTCGGGGACCCCTCACTGGAGACCTCCTGGGCCTGGTAAGTCCTGCATTGCTGCGCAGAGCCCTCCACCTCATCCTTGTCCCTGGCGTGGGTGTCCTGGCCTCTCTGAGCCCCCAGGATTTCCTGTACTGCTGGCCGCAGTTTCCCCACGCAGGGGGGGTGCTCAGGGCACACAGTCTGGCAGGCAACTGCCACCGCTGGGCTGTAGAGACTTGTGGTCATCTTGACCATGTGGTCCAGGACACCCCCATCCTCCGGGCCCTGGCCCGACCGGGAGGTCAGAGTGGACCGCAGGAACTTGGTGAGCCTTTGCAGGCAGCTTTTGGAGTCTGAGGCCTTCAGAATGGCTTCGGGGACCAGCGGCAGCTCTGGCTTGTACTTTTCCGCAAACTGCTCTGGGCAGGGACGTTCCAGTAGCCTCTGGATGAGGTGGACCGCCTCTGTGCGCCCCGTGTAGGCAGCCCACTCCTGTGGTGACATCCCACGACGGGGGTCTCTCGCATGGACATCTGCTCCTGAACAGAGAAAACACAAATAGGTGTGGGTGGTGGCAACACACCTGTCCCTTCAGTGGGCAGTGAACTGAAGGGTGGGCTGGAGCAAAAGCCAAACTCCCAAAATCTAATAACAGACTTCACCCTAGAGCCATCCCCCATGCTCACTGAACTCAACCCCTGTACCCAGTGACCCCTAATGTGTGACTGCTATAACAAAACTACCACTCAGTGCTCAGTGTAATGGTTTATCTTCCCTAGATTAGAAAAAGGAGCTCTGGTGGGACAGTGCCTATGGCATTTGACTGCTAACCAGAAGGCTGATGGTTCAAACCTACCAGCCACTCTGCAGAAGGAAGACAGGGCAACCTACTTTTGCAAAGATTTACTGCCTTGGATACCCAACAGGGGCCACTATAAGTCAGAATGGCAGTGAGTTTGTTTGTTTTTTTTTTCATTTAGATTAAAAACAAAGAAAAAACTTCCTGAATTCAGCACCTGAATCAGAGCATTTTTTAAATGCAACTGATTCAACAGTTTCTGCACGTACTGTTCAGCCACGTTGATTACAGTTTTTACACAAATACAGTTTTTGCAAGCTATGCAAGCCTTCTGAAGCTCATTCCTATGTGCATTATTTATGAAAATGCATGACCTTCTTTGAGCCAAGCAACCATTTTCACCCTGCTTTCTGAGCTGCCCGATCCCCGTTAGCATAAACTCACAGCCCCCTAGGGTTCCTGTCGAACCTTTCGAGTTGCCATCCTCAATCTGTTCCCATAGAAATGGATCTTAAAAGAGCACACTGCTCAAGGGCAGCATGCTTTCTTATTTAAGCTCAACTGTTGTTTGGCTTTAAGGTGACTTCAGGGAATATTTTTGGTTTAAAGTTTAAAGATGACGTCAGGGCAATAGTTTCAGGGGTCAAAGAATTTTTTTAAAAAAAGAAATAAGATTCCACTGATTCTCAGTGATGGAAAGATGACAGACAACAAAGATACCTAGTGAGCACTAGAATGATGCTACTAGAATGTTCTAAAGATAACAGTAAAAGTCATTTGAAAGCACTTTGTGGCCCACTCATCCTGCCATGTTTCCTTGGCTGGTTGTGAGGACACTCGTGGTTGCTGTTCTGCAGGAAGTGTGCATGGTCCTTCCATCCTTCACTTCTCATATGGGTGCTCAGCTGGGTGAGGGTCTCTCCTGTTTACTAGGCTGTGAGCTTCTTCAAGACAGAAGCCACGTTCCACTTGATTTTGTTCCCTTGACACACACAGTCCTGCATGGGAGGAGCATCAAGGTTCCTTACAGAGTGGATGCTGGTCACAGTGACTGAGGGGCCAGCTTGGCAACCAGGAGAGCTGGCCTCGGACCCAGATCTCTGACCCTCAGCCTAGGGCACTCCCCACTCCCAGCAGGATGGGCCTCTTCCTCGAAGTCTCACTCACATTAGCCCCTCTTCTTAGTAATCCTTCCATATCTCTACTGCCACCAAGTACGACAAAGTTAGGCTTCAACTCATCTCAATGGTATCTGCAAAGAGCCGAGCTCAGTAGCATAGAAACTGAGGTCCCCGGATGGCAAAAATGGCTTATGCTCAGCTGCCAGTCTAAAGGTTGGTGGTTTGAATCCACTCAACAGCATCTTGGAAGTCTTGTCAATCTGCTTCTACTAAGAGTCTTGTAAGGTGCCATCAAGTTGATCCCAGCTCACGGCCACCCCTTGTGTGCAGACGAGAACTACTCCACAGGGCTTTCAAGGTTGTGACCTTTTGGAGCAGATCACCAGGCCTTGCTGTTTGGCTAGTCATCAAGCACTTAACTGTTTGCTGCGTGACCCGAAGACTCTTCATTAAGATCACAGCCGGGAAAACCCTCCAGAGCAGTTCTGCTCAGTAACACAGGGTGTCGCTGTGAGTCACAGTTAGCTCAACAGCAATGGGCAGTGTAGACATTCATAGGATTTGCTGTCTGATTCTTGGTCTGATCACCGCCCCACACACAGTGAAGACATTCAGGACTCCAAGGCCCATTAGTCATGTTTCCACTGGCAGACCATGTGGAGATCTAGGGCAATTATCTTGTGTGCGACTCCCAGGGGACCGGGCCCACCGAGGCCTCTTCCTTTCCATCCCTCGCAGACCCAAGTCTCTGACCTGCGGCAGCTGATCAATAACCAGGAGATGTTGGCCCGCAGCCTGCAGTGCCCACAGCCCAGGCGGACCCCACTCACCTGCGCTCCGCCCCCCCCCCCCAGCAGTTTTAATTCCGTGACACATTACAGAATCGGGCTGTTCAGAGAGTGGCAATTATTTAGAACTGGAAATCAGGACGGAGCTCATTAGCTGGATTACAATTTATAAACTGACGAAATGAAAAGGGGACAGTAAAAATGTCACTGCAAAAAATAGATGACACATTAAACCTTAATTAATTGCATGTCACTTACAAAGGAACCAACTGCACAGTTGTGATCTTAATGAACATGGCTCCAAAGAGACCTTCTTCCAATGCTAATGGCAAACTAAAGGAAGAGCTGCCCAGTTTCACAGTCACCATCCTGTGGTTCTGTCACCTTTTCAAAATCACCTTAGAAAATACAAACGCTCTCAAGAACAAAGTCTGTTCCGACAGCAATGTGGCCCTGTCTCTGGGTCATGCTATAAACTAGAGACTCGCTTCCTTAAGAAACTACACGAAGGTCATACTCATGACCCAGACACAGTGAGCAGGAAGAAAGCCTTGGTGACTGACTTCGCCAATGGAAACCCTATCCTCCACGAAGGTCAGTTCCCCAACCGGTCGTGGGGATGGCGCAGGACCGGGCAGCGTGTTCTTCTGTTTTGCGTGGGGTTGCCGTGAATCACGGGCTAAATCAATGGCAGCCAGCAGCAGCAGACATAGTAATCAAGCCATGAAATCCAAAGACTGATGGCTAACATGGTGTGTGTATGCTTCTCAGGGAATCCAGAGAGCTTCTGGCATGTGAATGTACCCTTCACCGCCTCCTGAGGACCTGAGCACACCGACCACCTCTAGATGCTGATGTGCCCAGTGCGCTCTGGGTGTGGACAAGAATTGGGCTCCATCTGCTGGGGCGTGTTTAGTGCCCTGGGAGACACAGGGATTTTGCCTACACAAAATCCTCTATTTTATTCAAGGCAATTTGTTGTTGTTGTTGTTTGCCATCGAGTCGGCCCTGACTCATAGCGACCCCTCCTTGGGTTTCCGAGGCAGTATCACTACGGAAGTAGGAATGCCCAACCTTCAGCACCCTTCATTCCAGGCAGTAAATCATGATGGGTCTAACCCAGGGCTTCTCAACCTCAGCACAGTTGGCACTTGGGGTGGATGATTCGTTGTTGTGACAGCCTGCCTTGTGCTTGTTGTAGGCTGTTTAGTGGTATCCATGGCCTCTAGCCACCAGATGTCTGTAGCATCTCCCCAGTGGTAACAGCTAAGAGTGTCTCCAGATTTTGCCAGATGTCCCCTGGGATGAAACATCAGCCGTGACTGAGAACCATTGGTCTAACCTAATGGCTACAAGCCTGCTCCCCATTTTCCCAAGCTCCCTTGCAGCCAGGGGTGGCCAGGTGACCAGTGCTGGCTAATGAGGCCTAAGGAGAAGGTTTCCATCCTGATGAAAGGGGCCCACACGACTTGCTCCCTATGCTTCCTTTCTGAGATGTGGTCCACAGCCAGGAGCTCTGGGACCACTGTACATTCATGAGGTGACACTCTGACTCACTAAGCATGGCTCAGTGGACAGAAGCAAGGAACCAGGTCTGTGCTGTCTCCTTCAGATCCAGGGCCAGCTCTGGGCAGTGATGTCTACCTCAAGATTCAGTGGTGCAAGAACATGGATGTCTGTTTAAATGCAGCCCAGTCCCACACTCTCCTGACAGTCATTGTTATGTTTGAGCCCAATGTTGCAGCCAGTGTGTCAATCCATCTCATTGAGAGTCTTCCTTTTTGTTGACCCTGTACTTTGCTAGGAGCTCTGGTAGTGTAGTGCCTAAGGCATCTGACTGCTAACCAGAAGGCTCGTGGTTCAAACCCACCAGCCACTCCCCAAAAGGAAGGTTGGGCAATCTACTGCTGTAGTGATAGTGCCTCAGAAACCCAAGGAGGAATCACTATGAGTTGGATCTGACCCGACAGCAGTGGGTTTGGTTTCGTTTTTGTACTTTACCAGGCATGACGTCTTTTTCTTGGGACTGGTCACTCTCAGTAACATGTCTAAAATAAGTGAGACGAAGTCTCACCATTCTGTCTAGGGAGCATTCTAACTGTATGTCTTCTTCTTTGTAATCAGTTTTATTGTGCTTTGGGTGAAAGTTTACAGAGCAAATTGGTTTTCCATTCCACAATTCCTACACATTTTGGTTTGTAACCCTGCCTGCAATACCCACAATGTAACAATACACTTCCTCCTCCCTCTCTGTGTTTACCATTTCTGTTCGTCCTTCTTTCCTATCCCTTCTGCCTTCCAAGCTTTGACAAATGCCGCCCTTTAGATCTCTTATGGTTGATGGCTCTAAGGCATGCGTACCTCCCTGGAGTTACTGTTCACCTTACAGCCCTGTTTATTGCTTGGCTGAAAGTTGAGCCATGGGGGTAACTTAAGTTCTCAGCTTGAAGGGTGTCTGAGGGCCATAGTCTTGAGGGTTCTACCAGTCTCTATCAGACCAGCAAACCTGGTCTTATGATTTTGAGTTTTGTCCCACATTTTTCTACCCTTCTATCCAGGACCTCCTATTGTTATTCTTCTGAGTGGTCAGCAGTGATAGTACGGCACCATCTAGTTCTTCTAGCCTCATGGTTGCAGAGGCTATCAGTAGTCTATCATGTAGTCTATCAGTCCTTTTAACTAATTGTTTCTGTGTGTCTTTGATTGTCCTGGTTGTACTTCTTCCAGCACCGATTTGTTCATTCTTTTGCTGGTTCATGGTGTCGCCAATATCCTTCGCCAACATAATAAGTCAAAGTCATTGATTTTTCTTTAGTCTTCCTTATTCATTC